TGCGCCCTCTGCTGTCACTATCCAGTGGTTTTGTCCTACATAATGCCCCAAATAATCAGTTTGTTAGCTTTTCTGTATACATATGAGTCTTTAATTGCATTGTCTACAGAGAAGTCTAACAGGGATTATCAAACAGGAGATGTTTTAGTCTGAAATACAGCATCTTTGTAAGTCTGACTGAAAAACAGAACTGAAATCCACGGACCAAAGAAGACTGAAAATACAAGTTTTGGTTTATGTCTTAGCCCTGCTCCATTTCTGCAAGATCTTTTCTGGACACCTGCCTGTGTGACCTATTGCAGGGTGTCTGCTTTAGCAGGGGGTTGGACTTGATGATCTCTTGAGATCCCTTCCAACCCCTGCAGTTCTAATCTTCTGTGATTCTTTTCACACAAACAGCAGCAGGCAGATGCAAGACCATTCACCTCAGTGTGTGCAGCGATGTGGGAATCTGCTCCTGAGTTTTAAAGAGAGACCAGGAATTTGCTTTGCCTTTGTTAAATTTTGAAAACTAGGAAACTAGAAGAATAGCCAGCATCATTGAAACCTAACTAGCTGTTTGCCTGATCAACCAGCTGGACTCCAGTATTATTCTGATACACCAGTGTGCTTGGAGTTGTTTATCTATTTGGCAGTTACCTATGGCTGTTTAAATTCAGCCAAGAATGCAGGGACAGCTCTAAATAACTGAAACAAGAAGTTACAAAGTTTTATGTCTGGTACTCAAGACACTTATTTTAGAAGCAATCCATGGGTCATTAAAAAGTACCATCACAGTTTGTGATATTTTCCATCCTGTTTATACTCACTAAGCAATGCACTAATAAAAAAATACAGCTCAGTGATGAGACAGAAGAAGATCTCAGCCTGTAAAAAGGAGAAATTTATATTGCTGTCTTGGAAGCAGCATTCCTCTGTGCTTGGAGCAGTGGGAAGGTGTGATCCATTTGCTATCAGAATGGTAAAGTGCTGGAAGGGGTTGAAACGCACTTGATGTGTGCTAAAAGTGCTACCAGATGGAAACATCTGCAATCAAATTCAAATCAAATCAAATCAAATCAAATGAACTGGACTGCAGGCAGCCCTGTACACAGCAGGGGGTTGAAAATGGATGGACTTTAAAGTCCCTTCCAAGCCAAGCTGTTCTGTGATTCTATGATTTCTCAGCTGGAAGCTAGGAATTCCTCCTGCTTTTGGTCTGCTGTAAAGGAGATGCATACATATGTATGGCACATAAATGGCAAGACTGGCTTAATTCAATATCTTACAGAGATACTCTGGTAAAAGCACAAAAACTGTAAGGCTATGAACACAGTTATTGCTTGCAGGAATCAAAAAGTCAAAATCTAAAAGATTTAGCTTTGCTTTTTCCTCATGCAGCACCCTCAGCAACCTACAAAGCCACTAAAGAGACATGGACCCATGCACCCAGAGAAGGATCACAAAAGTGGTCCAAGGGATGGAACACCTCCCCTGTGAAAACAGGCTGAGAGAGCTGGGATGTTCAGCGTGGAGAAGAGAAGGCTGTGAGAAGACCTGAGAGCGGTCTTTCAATATCTAAAGGCGAGCTGTAAGAAGGACTCTTTATCAGGGTCTGTTGTGACAGGGCAAGGGGAAATGATTTCAAACTAAAAGAGAGGAGATTTAGGTCAGATGTAAGGAAGAAGCTTTTTTAAGTGTGGTGAGGCACTGACATAGGTTGCCCAGAGAGGCAGTGGATGCTGCGTTTGTAGAGACACCCAAGGTCAGGCTGGAGAGGCTCTGAGCACCTCATATAGCTGTGAGTGACCCTGTTCATTGCAGGGGAGTTGGACCTGATGCCCCTTCCAACTCAAAAGATTCTATGATTCTAAATCCACCTTACTCTGGAGAAGAGATGGAACTGCAGCTGTTAAACTGATTGCTATCCAGAGCAATCAGCACAGAGCTGTTCTTTTGCTAACAGAAAGTTGCTGCTCTAACTTGGCCCAGGCAGTTTCTGGAACTGGTTTGGAAATAACTTCAAAATGAAAGGCGTTGAATCTGCAGCAGCACTGTGAAGCACGAAAATGGAGGGAAAAAAAAGAAAAAAAAAAAAAAAAAAGTGTATTTGGATAAAATGAAAGATAAACTAATGGAGAAGGCCGAGGACTGTGTGCACAGCGAATGGTGTGTGAAAAGCTGCGTGTTGGTGCCACCTGGTGGGCTCAGAGCCGCCCCGCGCCAGAGAGGCGCAGCTCTTCCAGCCGGGGTGTCACACTCCTGACATCACATCGTGTGTCCAAGCCTGCATAGACAGGAGGGAGGGGATGCAACGCAGAGGCTGAAGATGGGAGGACAGTGATGGAAGGTGAGAGATGCACAAGGAGTTGCTTTTTCTGGTATCAGTGTGCCTCACCTGGCTACAAGTGCCTATCCCAGCTCTGCTTGTGTCTCTGCATGTAATCACAGCTTTCTTCCATGGAATTACGTGACAGACTAGTGCAAGTACTGAAAGTACCAGCAATCCGATTTCACTGAATCATAGAATCATTAAGGTTGGAAAGACCTCTAAGATCATTCAGTCCAACCACCATCCCATCCCCCCACGCCCACTGCCCACATCCCTCAGTGCCACATCCACACGGCTCTGGAACACTTCCAGGGATGGTGACTGCACCACCTCCCTGGGCAGCCTGTGCCTGCAACACCACTCTTTCTAGGAATAATTTTTTCCTAATATCCAGCTTGAACCGCCCCTCACACAACTTAAGGCCGTTGCCTCTCATCCTATCAGTTACCTAGGAGAAGAGGCCTATCGCCATGTTGCCGTAATCTCCTTTCAGGCTGTTGTAGAGGGCAGTAAGTTCTCTGCTGAGCTTCCTCCAACATTCAGTGTTGTGTCTTGTGATATGACTGTGGCATTATCACCTGGCCATTTCAGCCCTTCATTTTAACGGATGTTGCATCATCCCCTGATTAAGGCACCAACATCTATGAATGTTAGGTCATGGTTGGATGGCCTTTAAGGTCTTTTCCAACCTGAGTGATTCTGTGATTCTATGATTCTATGAATCAAACTCCTGGACAATGCCATTACTGCACATTTCAGAAACGAATATAGACATGGTTTAAAGTTCTCAAGAAATAAAGGATCCACCACATCCCTTGGTGTGTTGTTTTTTGTGGTTAAGAACTCCATTAAAAAGGGATGAACCTTGCTTCAGAGTTCAGTAGGTTTAAGCCTAAATTTCAAGTATTTGGTCATCTTATGTCTTTCTTTATGATTTAACCTGTTTTTACTGGCTTAAAGAATTGCTAATAGTCAGTAATCTCTTCTGTATATAGGCTCAATATTAGTGTATTGCAAAATATCCATACGTATAGCCACAGAACTACAGTAGGAACTTCTACAATCTCTCCAGGTACTTGATTTTGGGGAGAGACTCACCTTTTCTTCAAATGAATCTTTTTCTAAAACTGTCAGTCTGCAGTTTTCCTGTGCCTGAAATCTGTACTCTCAGTTTCATGCACAGTATCCTTTAGCTTCCCTTCCTGTAGTATCCACAAGCTATTTAGTTTCTATCTGTTCCCACATGTGTCTTCAAACACAAGTTGAAAAAAGCGAACACTGACATTTCCTTGTTGTTTTTTTTTTATTCCCCTTCTAGGCTTCTGGACTCATACTCTTCTCTTTCCTTAGCTTTACTTAACTCCAAGTTCCCTCTTTTCCTCTTCACAAATACAATGATGCTTTCATTTTTTCCCTGCCTAAACTTCCCTTAGGCTCTTCATCCTGTGCCTGGTGTAGGGAACCTGCTTTGGCGGGGAAGTTGGACATGATGATCTCTGGAGGTCCCTTCCAACCCCCACAATTCTGTGATTCTGTGATTCTGTGATTCTGTGCTTTTTTTCCAGTTTTGTACTGTTCTCCCAACTACAGCTATAACTTCTTGTGTGGTTACCAGTTTTGTACAAAGCAAATGTTGATGGTTATATATTAATTTTGAATTAAAAAGTAATGGAATAAAAAAAAAAAGTATTTATTTCCTTAACAAGTAGATGAGGCTCAGAAAAGTGAACCTAAACACACTGACAAGTAAGCATTTTACACAAGGTACATTCTTATTGCAGTGTATGTTACCAGCCTTGTAAATAACATAAAGTCAGAGTGCAATTGGTGACAGATGTTTAGTAAATTAACATGCAGTTTCTCATCAAATTTATGTACATTATGATATTCAAAATGTTGTATTTAGGTAGGTGCTCACAGTGTGAGAGCATCCTGAATTAAAGATCTCAGTCCTTTGTAAAAATCCCACTACATTCAGTGCTACAGCAGAATCCAGACTCAGTTACATACAACTAGAGGTATCGTGTATTTTATAGACAACTTTACATATGGAAAACTATACTAAAAGTATTAACAACAACACAGTTATGATCTGCTTATTTTGTTGTTTAATATACCTTGTATTTCTAAGGGTACACATCTTTCATCTTAACTAAAGTATTAACACAAAATCTTGAATTTTTCTGGAGTGGAGTATGTTGCATTGTGTCTATTACATAAAATGATTTCCCTGTGGATGTAAGCAGGAGTTAGAGCAAGTGGTAACTATTAAAGTCAGTGAATTTCATGAAACATATCAAGCCACCATGTATACCTCTTCACAGAAATCAATATTCTTTTTATTTCTACCTGAACCTGCAGTCACTTGAAGCAAAATGCAGACTATAAAATTGAATGCAGTCAAATGGAAGTATTCTAGCAAACAACCAAGCTGACAAATGAATAGAAGTGTCAGAGTGTACTTAATGGTATCATCCTGGTGTAAGGGGATAGTACTTGCTTTTTTTTATCTAAATTTTCTCTTCTTCTCCATGAAGAGAAGATAAAATTACTGAGTCTCTCAACAAGAGTACCATTTGGACTAGATGATCTTGTAGGTCGTTTCCAACCTTGTGATTCTATGCAGAAAAAAAGCTGGAGAAGCTACTTTGCATTTTTATTATATAAAGTTCTAACTCCAAAGGTGGTTGTAAATAACGAAGCTGGGTTCATCAGCTGAGTATAGAGCAAAAGTATGGTGGATAAAAGTATGACTTCTCATATTAGTGGGGGAGAACTGTAAATATCTTCATAAAAAGCATAATCCTTTGCTAACTCCGTCGTGGTATGGTCTCTTTCTCAAATAATCCCCTGCCAACAGTGAAATGCACACCTGGTGATCCTAATACCATGTGTCAAGATCTGTGCTAAAATATGTTAATATAAGTGATTAAGGATTAATAACTTGGCCAACAGGTGCACCTTCATGTGGACTCTGTAGTTCAGCCAGGGATTCACTCAGAAATCATCTCTTAATAAAAAGCATTGATGAAAAAGCAGACAGTAGCTTAGCACAGCTGCCAAACCTCTTCCCTTTCTAATTCACATGCACCCAATTGTGAGCTATGGTACAACAGTATCTGCATTCTGATTGGAAAGTTGGGGATATGCACAGAACTTCCGATGAAATGAATGAACATTATCAGGATAGGATCTTTGATCCAGACTGCAGACAAGTTTGATCCCTATCTTGGATATACCAGCTTTAATTTGATGTACTTCCTTTGATTAATGCCACAGAGAACAGAACCTGCCCTACAGCTGCTGTTTTCCTTCGATATTCAGTAACTATTTGTTGGTAACTTCAAAAGGAACAAAGTAGGTTAAGATCATTTTTTAAGCCCTCTTCATGTATTTGCATGATATAATATAGGAAAAGCTATGTATAGAGAAGAGTTCCTGTGCTGGAAAATATTATGAGCTGTTTATGTGATGTCTAGCTGTTAGCATGCTGTAATGCATAACCATTGTTATACATGTAATTGTTGTAATTGGTCCAGTCATCTGCACATTGATATTCTTGATTAGGCTGAATGTATGGATGATAAACAGTTTCTTTTCCCAAGAAGTAGGACGGAGCAAGTCTTTGTAAAACAACAGCACTGAACTGGTATGTCAGCTTCCTTCGAATTTTAATAATTTCACCTGTTCTTCCATAATTCCTCAGTGCTCTGGCCATTTTCTGATATGTCATGATCTTGCGGTTTCCCTTTCTTTCTCCCCACAGCTCTGCAAGTTTCTCCTTGTTTTTGGAGACAAACTGGAAGACACCATTGGGCTTATCCACCCATTGGATGCAGTTTGCCATGGCTGGATCATACAGAGACTCGTGAAGGTACTCAAACAGACGAAGTTTTTTTCTACCTATTAAGAAATAAAGTACAAAAGGTCAGAACAGAACTCGTGCCTGTTTTAAAAGGAAAGCAGTTGTCTTATTCCTGGAAAAGATCTTAAAGGAAAAAGCATACATAGGTAAGCCTAGTAACCTGTCAAAAAGTTTCCAAACAAACATTTTGCAGGAAATCATGTCCTCAGGCAGTGCTGGCAGGAAGTTCTGAAGGTCCAATCTGGATGCTTTTTAATAAATACTTTCTCCTATTAATTAGAACTCAAAGATTTTGAGATGAACCAATTTTGACAGGTTTCTTTCAGGACTGTTTTGAGGAAGCAAGGTAGGCTCTGATATAAGAAGGAGTGAGCAAGAAGGAAAAGCAAGCTAGTTTTGCATTGTAATTTTCACCTAGTCAATAAAGAGCTTTACCTTCTTGCACACTGCATATTTCTAAAAGCATGCAGAAATTTCAACTTGCCTTCCAGTGCAGAATAAAGGAAGAAATATTTGTCAGTTAAGAAAATTCTTCTTCCCACAGGTCCAGCTCTCAAACTTAAGTTTACTAGTAAGGCTTATTTAGTTTCACTTAAGTCTTGTGGGTCCCTCTCTTTGAAGCACTCCTAGTTCCTTTCACTGAGCCAAGGGTGACCAAGAAGCTGCCATAAGGAGGAAGAATTGAAGATTACGAGACAAAGAGGAACATTTTGCAGAAAGGAGAGTACATGCAGAAGGACAGCTTCCACTTCAACGAAAGTGGAAACAAGCAGCTGCATCTAAATTTCATAGTCTTGTCTTGCATGGCTATTTTAAACTAAAGGCTGGGGAAAAGTGACAGTTGCTAAGGAACAGTGAGGTCGAGCCAAGACATCTGTTAGGGATGACAGTAACTCTGCTTCTGGTGATAAGGAAATAGGAGAGAAGTGGCCAGACTAGGAAGAAGAAGATCCTGAAAACAGAGGTACTTTCCAAAAAACTGTAAAGTTTCAGGATCTAAATAAAAATTGGCCTGTAGCTGGGAGTACATTTTTTACTATACATACATATAATATTGCCAAAATGAGTAGCTTAAAAGCAAACAGATGAGGAAGACTGCCTGGCCCCAGCAGGCCTGAATCATAGTGGGTGACATCCTTAGATCCCCTCCAACCTGAGTTATCCTATAATCCTATGAACCTAATTAGAATGAATAAAATAAGGGGGACATCTGGATGTTTCTTCTGTTCATCAGAGCCTCTAGCTGCTGCAGACAGAGTCTGAAGGAAAACAACTATGTGATGTACATACCAGCATCTCAGAGTTCATACTGTCGTTCCTCTTACTTCAGTTGTCATTTCTGTCCAAGCTTTTATTTCTAGACACACACACACGTACTTCTTTCTCCAGATGATGTCTTGGTTAGAGAGTACATAAGGGTTCATATGTGTGACTGAAAATAAATTTCTGTGCCCCAGCTATTATCCCTGAAGCCCTATACCGTGTGGGTGCACCAATTTGAGCTGGGATTAGTGCATGGATCTTCGCAGTGCATAAGTCTGCAGTGGTCACTACCTGTCCTCAAACTGTTGCACAGCATCAGTCCAAGCCAGCAGGCTAGTTTATGTAGGTTCTCATGTGGTCACTGGAGAGAAGGAGCTCCTCCAGAAGATGTTTCAGAGCATCTGAATTAAGTTTCTGCACTTGGCCTAAAGCAGCTTAATTCTCTCTGAATGTCTCTTTTGAATTTCTCTCTTGATTGTTTCCACCTACCATGCTTCAGTTCATAACAAGGAATGGTCTAGAAATGAATGAACTGGACTTGTTTCAGAAGCAGTCGGATTCAAAGATGCTTTCCAGAAGTGCTGGTTGTTTCATCTACAGATCTATTCCTGAAGGGCCACACTACTTACTGTTCTACAGATAGCCTCTCATGCATCAGTAGGGGCTCAAGAGGACTAAAATTTTATAGGTACAAAGTAAATAGAGTGATAATAATGTAAAAGAAACATGAAATAGGAAATAAAGCTTAACAGAGCAGTAACAGCAGTGACTTCAGCTAGTAACATATAAAATTCCCTGGGTACCAACACTGGGTAAAACTTAGAAGAGCAACATTTCTAGATTGGCATGTTTGTGTTTGTGGCAATGAATGTCAAGATTTAGGAGTCCTGAACTTAAAAGAAGAGATTATTCTTCTCATCGTCCCGAGGAACTTGTAGTAGCTGGGCTACTAAGCAACGGAAACCACAGTACCCACCATCAGTGGGAAGGGATGATACCAAAATCTGACAGCATGTGGTTAAAGTTAAGAGAAGGGGATTTCAAAAAGCAAGAAAACTAGGAAGCTGCTCAAAAGGACCCCACAGTCAAAAGTAGGTATGAAGCTGTGGAAATCTCATCCAGTAGAGTCATAGAAAGGATGCTGAGTCCCATCTGAAAAACAGAATGAATGCAACAACTGAAGTACAGTGATGATCACTGGCACCTGACCTGTACACTACAAGAGAGATGTCCATTCAAGTAGAGTCAGTCAAAAAGAGCATAAAAACAGCTATCAAATTGTGCTCCTTTTCTTGTCACAAAAGCTAAGAAAAAAATTTGAATATTAAACAGATAAAGGTATAAAATCCAATTCAAACATATTAACATCCGGGGAAAACCTTCAAGAAAGCTGTTACTTGCTGGATCACATGAAATAAATGAGTTATTAAAGTGATTAAATATATTGCTGTACTTCTTTGCATTAGACTTCAACCGAGATGATTTGAAGTGAAAACGCATCCCTTGTTCATTTTTCCATGTAATAAGCAAGAGCAGAGAACGAGAAGTGAGGAGATTTATCTTAAAGTATAAGGTTTAGCAGACAGGAACTGAAAATTTGCAGTTGTATTCTAGCCATTGTTAAATATTAATGTATTTTTCCTATCAAAAGTAAAAAAAAAAAAAAAAAAAAAAGCCAACAAAACAAAACAACAAAAATAAACACACAAACAAACAAACTAGAACATAGAATGCATGATTCATCAAGGGAATTTTAAAGTAACACAATGCACTTATCAAGAGATATTCTTTCCACACACCTTTCCCTGCTTTAGGCTGGACAGCAGCAGCATGCATCACTTGGCTTTCTGGAGTATTCTGCAGTGTATGGTAGACAGAATCATCTGCATAAAAATCTGCTGCACTGTTCTTCAAGAATTAAGACAACGAAGAGTTAGCAACTTAAAGATTAATCACCTGAAGCCTTAAAAATGCAACTTTTTCATCCCCTGGCCCCCAGAAAATTCTTTCACAGCCACAAAGGCGTGCAGTGTAGTCTATCAGTAAAAAGTTACACCAGCATGTTGAATGGGAATAATGGCCCACCAGAGAAGAAGTTAAGAGGAAAATCAGAGTGATTTCCTCACTCTGCATCTTTAACCATTCTGCTGGAAGCGGAAGAGGAATTCTGGACATTTTTTTCAGAGTCAGTAAAAGACAAGGGCCACCTGGACTGTGTCTCAGGAGAGACTTTGTCACTGCTATGTTAGATTCTCACTAATCTGCTGGCTGAAAATGGGCTTTTGTGAAATTCATTTACCTGAAATTATCTCCTCTGCACCACCTATTTCCCACCACTCCTGCAGGCCACACTTCCAGAATGAAGATGGGCTCTGCAGGCTAAAGTTTGTTTGTTAGTTGTCGTTTTACATAATGAACCACAGAATAGCACCAAATAGCTAAACTGATTCCTGAAGAAAGACTAATAAATATGTTTTGCAGATATGCCCCAATGTGATTTCACCTGAATTATACCTGACCAGACCGAGTTTATGATAGAGGTAGCATAATTATTTCTACTAGAAATCACAGTCAGCCAATTTTCAGTTTACATCCATAGTAATTAGCTCACTTACTATCACAGTTCTCCAGCTATATCCTGGGTCCTCTGTAGAGGGTACTGCAGAATAGCTGGGACTTGCTCGGAGGTGGGGATGATGGTTGATCACAGTCAGGCAATTTTTGTAACCTGAGAATTTGGAGCAAAAAACTGTATAAAAAAAAAGAGGGAAGGAGAGAAAAACAGACAAAAAAACCAAAACCAACTGCAGCAAACAACCTAAGATGCTACTCAACTGTCAAAATGTAATTATCCTATTGTTGCCATCTGGGTAATAAACTCCCTATAGCCAGGAAGTTTCATGCCAGTGGGTTATCCAACATAACCTGCATACAGGTACCTATAATGGTACCTGCCTCTAGGCTGGTTTTGCTAACCTCCATGACTTAAAGCAATGTTCTTTCAGATAAGATGTCAGTTATTTTATAGTATTGTGAGATAGTTTTTTTATTAGAAAAATGGAGGGCCAAACTGATTATCAAATGTAGGGAATGGGATAATTACAGAAGATTATTTTACATTTTTTGAACAGGAAAAGGGAATGCCAGGTGATTCTTCAGCAAGTCATTAGTACAACACAAGTGAGAGTATAGAAGCACAAATGAAGTGAAGGACAGAAACTGGTAAGTATGATTCTGGGCAATACTGTTTCAGTTGTCTAAAAGCATTACTATTTCAAATCAGCTACAGGAAAAAGGAATTTCTCAGAGCATCTGCAGAGCCTGAAAGAAAACTCAAAAGGGTCCCAGGATGTTTAAAAGAAGCAGAAGAGGACACTGGACTAAGGCGCTGGAAGCGGAGCAATGTGTGTGAGCAACAAGACGTAAATGTACACTGAGTTGCAAGTATTAAAATGCCTCTCTGTTGGCCCTGACAACAGATACAGACATTGGGAACATTTATATGTAGTGGATACTTCAGTGTGCAAATTCCCACTGAAGTGGAGGCAAAAACTTATTAACAACAGCTAAAGATATGAGCCAATTTGTCTTATTTACATTTCAATGTATCACAGATAAACGCCCAAATAAACTTTCTGGCATAAAATACATTCCTCACAAAGGACAGTAAATATGTTCTTCTGGATGTAAAGGATTTGCAATGTAGCTTCTTACTTTCCTTCCATTTCTATTCATGATATAAAAACACCATATACAGATACATTTTAAATTTTATCGCATTTTAATTGCAAATATCTTCCCTGAACTGAAGGAATATGCAGCTTCCCTATATTTTAAGTTTTGTAGTGCATGAATTCTTAATCTGGAAGCCAGGAAACTTACTTTTCTGCTAATAACCTAGACTGTGCGTAAAAATATTTAAAATTTGTACCTTAATGTAAAAAAGCAATTATGGAAACAAAATTCATATGTTGAATTCTTTGTCTTCTTTTAGTCTTTGCATTGGAATTCATTCCTATATGAGTTTATTTACACCATAACGTAAGGGCATTTTTCAATTGAAGCATTAAAACTGGAATATGCCTGTTGCACTTTGGTCTTACATGTTTTGTTTCGAGCTCAATACACATCAAATAGTACAGGATGGAAGGGGAAGAGGGGCTGTCCAGTAACTTCCCTGTGATATGGCTTGGAAGATGCAAACCACCCTGGGCAGGGTCAGGTACAAAAACCCTCCAACCCTTCTCCATTTTCATCATAGAATGGCCTGGGTTGGAAGGAACCTCAACAATCATCTAGTTCCAAACTCAATGCCACAGGCATTGTACTCCTCAGCTGTCCATTAATCCACCTCTAGAAGTTACTGTCCCAGCCATATATTTTAAGATATTTTTTTCTGTAAGAATATAAAGCTGTAAGTAAAAATAAAGCAATGTCCCCCCTTTACCTTGTGAGTACTGCATTTCTCTGTCGGAGTGCTGCTGCAGTACTTCTAGTGCATCTTCAAAAGCCTGACCCAGTATGTCTTGATCAGAAAAACTCTGCAAGAACATATTTCTGTCAAAAGTCAGAAAAGACCAGGTGTTCTTCAATATCATCAGTAGGAAGATCCCGAATAAATACAGCGATTACATAGAATGTTCAGGTATCATACCATCCTCCTGGAACGTATTTTGCAGAAAATTAAGTATTACCAGAATCTCTACTATTATGAGAAAGTTCTCACTCCCATGAGAAGTCTCTTTGAGGTCAGTGGGAAAACTCTCACGGGTAACATTACTCACTCTGGCAAATGTTTCAAGGTTCATTTCCTTCATTTGCAGAAGTTTACTTAAAGGGTGTTACCATTATTGCAGTGAGTTATAGCATTTAGTGCAGAGGTATATATCACTTGTTTACCATGATTTATGAAGCCAATATTATCATTCAGTATCATCGACATGGCAAAAAATATTACTTGCAAATCTGGAATTGCTTATGCAGAGACAATGTTATATTATACTACTCTAGGAAACAAAGCAATTTTGAAATAGATTTTCAGCAAAATTTATTGTCATTTTAGAACATTTTAGAATGCTGGAACTTCAACTAAAGCTAAGAAAAGTCCTCCCAAAATCTGTTGGCCTGGGAGTTTTCTGTAGCATATTTGAAGTTCTAGGTAATGAAAGAATAAAGGCATTGTAGACTTACCATTATTTAGATATCAAAACTTGAATCCTGTTTAAAAAAAACAAAACAAAACAAAACAAAACAAAAAAAAAAAAGTGAATCTGTATATTTCAAAATAAACAATATCTCAGCATAAACAAATGAAATGAAATGCATATTATTTCTAGTGATGAAACAAAGTGAAACTACTTAGGATTTAGGATTAGAAAGTGGTAATTTGTTTTAATGCAGTTAAATACATGTAAAATTTTTTTTTTTACAATTCATACTATCTTTCATTACTGGTGTTTCCAATTTCATTACTACTGTAGCATTTAGATTACCATCGATATCATCATAAACATATTTTTAGAGACTACTTGATGTTAAAAGAAGTTACTGCTGACATTCAGTCTTAGCTCAACTACAATTTTCTCAAGGAAAATAGTGACTAGAATTAAAAGATAACATTTAAGTCCTTTTGTTCTTTAGTTATAGTAAAAAAAAACTTGTTTTTTTCCATCATGTAAATTAAATTAGCATCTGACTGTATATGAATATACAAAAACTTCCAGAGTAGGTTTGAGTTCCAGAAACAAATGTCATTGTTTAATAAACAGTGAAAATAGGCATTTTTCAGGTATCTTAATATAGAGTATTCTTTTACATACAACATTTCTTATTATTATTAATTATTATTATTATTATTATTAATATTCTTATTATCTTACTATTCCTTATTACCTCTTGACATTTGTTACAGATTGTAATAATTGAAGTTTCTTATAACTTACAGCTTTTTTTAATCCTGTTCTCATTTCCATTTATATTTCAAAATGGTAAAAATTAACAATAAAAAAAAAAATTATTTTACTCTTTAAAGCTTTGATTATAGCCTATTGAAAAAAAAATGGACATTTTGGTAGTGATTTCAGCAAAAATTGACAACAAAATTGGTCTGTATGATGTTTTAAAATGCAAGGAATAGGAAAGATGCTTAAGTGTAAGAGAGAAGTGTTTTCAGCCAAGACTCACAATGGATGTTCTAACCTGATAATTATGCTTCAGTCAGAATATACATATCTTAAAGTACACCATTAAATACTGTCAACATTCATAAAAAGCTTTTTAAGATCTTGATGACTATGCATGTCAGAAAGATCTCAGTATGTGTAATGAAATCCTGGTGGTTCAGTCAATTGACCTTGCCAGAGACAATGGGATTTCTCTCTTTAATTTCAGCACAGCAATTATTTCAACAAACTAATTTCACTATAAAGCCAGAACAGACCACATTAATTCTTTACTTGCAATGGTTGCCAGATTCTTGGAGCTGTAGAAATTAAAGACATGAATCTCATGGGTAAAGACCCTAGTTATCATAATTTTAATTGTTTCACTTTCTTTAAAATGCATTTGTCTAACTCAAACTTCAAAGTGACAAGTGGTAACCTTGACAGAATGTCTGCAGTTGATGCTTTTCAAAGCCTGAAAGGGTACTGAAAATTATCACTATCAGCAACATACTGTTGAAAGGTCATACCAATTACAAAACTGAATTCAGTTTAAAAAAAAAGAAAAAGAAAAAGTTACAGCAAAAATAAATTTTAAAAAATAAATAAATCTTAACACTTACCTAGAATTTCAGCTCTACACACAACACAAGAATCTCTGTTTTCATAAATAAATGAAAGACTGAGTTCCCATAGCAATGGGCTGGCAAAGGGGCTGCATTAAATAACTGGTTTTGGGGAAGTGTTTTGGGAAGGGAATTTTTCTAAGACTAAAGGTGTAGTACAGTACTAGCATGGCCTTCATTAAGCAGAAAAGAAGGGTGATTTAAACAAATGAAACAAAACTGAGCATTATAACTGCTTAACAAAACTATGAAGATTTTAGGAATTGGAAGAGATTCCTTTTGGCTGTGAGACATCCTAACAGATCTGCCATTGGTAAGTTATAGGGCAAAATCCTGCACCCCTAATCCATCCCAAACAGACTACAGTGGACCTTCTGGTTTCAGATGAACCTCCTGTTTACCTCAGTGTAAGAAGAAGACAAAACCTGACCCCAAAATATGAGTTTTGGGAAATATCAAAAGTCTGCTTCACAGCTCAGGTTTATTGCCCAGGCCCAGCTCTAAGGCATTTAGTAAAGATCCCATCAAGCTGTAGTTGCTGATTTGATGCACCCTTCCTGAGCAGCTCAACTCATGATATTGTGTCCTCTGGGATGAGGACTCTCTATGTTTTTCAGTAGAAAACTTCTTGCCACTGACATAATCCTGTGCCATAACTGTGCAACCAAGTTTTTCAGAGGCACGCTTCACAAAGTATTGTTAACATATACTGTGACAGTTCTGTAAAATAGTAATTACCTCTTACAACATTTATTTATATTCTCTCAGAAAAGAATTGTCTTAAGAGCCATAGCCTGCACTCGTCTATGAATGCTGAGTGGAAGTAACTTGAAGTCAATGTTAATATCAACTATCATTTTCTTGTTTCAGATGCAAGTTGCCTTTTCAAAATTTACACCACAAGCTTTCAAAATTTCTTTTTAATGGAGTATATTAATGCATGTATGTGTTTTTTTCAAAATACAAGTTCCACTTCATAGTACTTTTCTGCTATGACATGGGTTTATAAGGAAAAATGAGTCAACAACAGCACTGCCAATTCAGTGACTCAGCACTGGATTTCAGTGCAAAATTCTATTACACAATTAATTCCCTCTTCATAAACTGCTAAGTTTATTCTGTAATGTGGAGAAACATTGATGTCTTGGTATGGCTCTTTTCTGCAATATAACTGTACCAGATTTAAAATTATGAATGAGCTTCAAGATCTCTTGTGGGCATCATCCTGATAATTGAGGTATTAATAGGCAGTCTGACTTACCTAGCCGCACATTTCTATCTGAAGTTGGGAATTTCACGCTCATTCTGGCTACAAGGCTACTGGGTGGGGCCAACGCAAATATGATCAAAGTTGAGAAATTAAAGCCATTGCATTGCTCAATCAAAATGTTTCATTTAAGTAAGAGGCTATAGTGTAAGGAAGGTCATCAAAAGGTTTCTTTTCAGAAGAAATGGGAAAGTTCCGTACATAGAACACCATATCACACGTAAACATGAGCAGTCATTGTCTCACAGGGTAAATCAAACTCCTTCTGTATAGTCAAGATAGGCGATGTGTTGGCCTCTACCAAGAAATGCTGTCGCAAAAGAAAGCCTGTTTTGATTTTTGCACTGGATGGGACGATAGAATTCAGATAAAAGCCTAAAAAAGATAACTTACTATTGAAATGATGTCTCGTACAATTGATGTGCCTGACAGCAAAACTTCAATATCAGTAAGAAATCACAGCATCAAGCTTTTTTCCTTCATCCGTGTTTTAAAAATAAACTTCCAATGACAGAGTGATTGTTGAAGTTTCAGAACGTTCTGTCATTCTTGCTTGGCTCTAAAAGTCAGTTCGTAATATTGGAATAGGACAAGCATTTTCACCTGTCTGAATAAAAAGAAGAACTAAATAATGCATTACAGCACTTGTTGGTGGGCCACAGAAAGCATGAAGACTCTTGCATGAGGCATTGTTTAAAAGTAGAATAAAAAACAGTCAAAACCCCCCTATAGAAGCACAAAACTTGAAATTATAAGCTTTCTTACTAGGGATTTACAGCTTTCTCAGATGTTTTTGAATGTCAGATAGTTTGTAACTGCCCAGGTAAAACAGACAGACTACTTGCAATAGAAGAAGATCCTCTGTTTTTAGAAATGATTCTGTAATGGGGAGTCACTTGCCCCCCATGTAATAGATGAACTACCAATTCAGCAATCTTCAGAATTTAGTTATAAAATGTGGCAGCTACAGAGAGCTCCCATCCTTGCATACTTGTTCTGGCCTTTGGCAGATCTCTTTGCAAATCCTATTCTGGCCGTACAGCTCTTTGAATGAGCAATGATCTTCGTCATGAATTCCCATGGCTGTCAGTTCACAGTACTAAAAAACTGCAGATGCTGTCTCCCTGTTAGAGGGAACGTGCCTGCGCTCTCATCCTTAACCTAACCATGTTGACCAGCAAATTTTCAAATCCTGACAGTACGCTTGTTCTGGTCTGCTTCATTCAAGGTCTGAAAGAAGTTAGAAAGTTTATTTTAGCAAGGATACAGCTTTTTTCTTTGCAGAGAAGAAACAGGAATAGACAGAGAGATCTCTTCTTTTACAGTGATAATCCAGGCACAAGTATTTCACAGTGAATTGGTATGGAATATAATTTCAAATTAGTGGCTTCAGAAAGTGCTTAAAGTTCCGAGTCCCAAAATACAATGAAACTCCCCCTTAAAAACACAACAAAACTAACAAAATCCAACAACATTGAATACTAAGCTATCAAAAAAATAAAAATAAGCATGCTAACTACTGGCCTAAGTAAACACTGCTTACTGTGATTATGATCAGATAATTAGTGTAGAATTACAGACAGAAAAAAAACCTGAATGCTAACATTAAAATGGAAAACACAATTATGGCATTATGTCGCACAAGAAAATGAGATAATGAAACTATATCTGAAGGCTACATTTGTGCTAGGGGATTTTGGTCTATGCATTTTGACAAACAAAATGATCTATTCAAATACCAGAAAATGAGAATATATTTGTTTTACAAATTGTGCAACAAATGGCAATGAAAATCTATGCAATGCAAAAAACATACTGTTTTATTGCTATTGTCAGATCTATAGTATGAGTTCCTTAGCTGGTAGAAATTGGTACAGAGCAACCAAAGCCAAAGGATCACTGATGATTTGTATTAACAGAGACTCTGGCTTGAAGCTGACGCTGATCTAATTTTCAGTTCAGTAAGGTGGAACTTGCTGTGCCAGCACTGATGCTTCACATTCTTCCTGATTTCCTGATTTGAACTGTTTCTTCAGCTACCTTTTAAAACATCACATTTGGATAGACTGACATAGTGGCATTTTTGTATTTTAATCCTCTTTAAAAACAAAAACAAAACAAAACAAAAACAAAAACAAAAACAAAAACAAAAAAAAAAAACTTTGTCCAATCATTCTCTCCAATTATGACTTATGTATGCAGTATTTTCTCTTCTTAAGAAAGAAGATATAGAAAACATTTTAAAAATTGAATTTTAAACCTGAAATGATAGATCATCTCAATCAGACTAATTTCCCTACCTTTGAATATGAAACCTTTGCCTATTACATTGAGATTCCAAATCACGTTCTTAATATTGATTTATAATAATTTGCTTGAAAGTTTCTTGAAATATTGCTTTAATCCTTTCTGAGTTAATACTTTTCTGGGCTTCATAGGGCTAAAGTAAAGATGTATTTCTATTTCTTAAGAAGATATTCTACTTTCAGACTACCTTAGAAATAATTATCATTATCTTAATGTAAATGACAGAAATTGAACCAATGGTGTGTTTAAATCTTAATTCTGTTTTGGGAATTCACCATTCAGTCTTAAAAGACATATTTACTTGGAAAATTTCACATGTGTAACATAGTTGGTTTAGATAGATTGAATAATTACAGGGGAAAAAAAAAACAACCCAGGCATTTGGAGAAATCATTGCAGAGGTTACATCTGAAAATTTAATTACCTCTTTTAGGGCCTTAGAAGAGAAGTTTACTGTGGAGGCTGCATAAGTGGACAGATCACTCTTCTGTGGAAAACCCACGTCTAAGCCCTCCAGTTAACAACTAGACCCAAGATATTGGTCCAGTTGGCCGTGTCAGCAGGCCTTCTCAGGAAGTTTCTTCTTTGGCTCTGCACAACCTAAGGAAGTGAGTTTCTGCTGGGAAGTCCCGTGAAGACAGAAGACCAAAAACCACAACAGAAGCACAAGGAACTAATAACAAATGCAATGAAAAAAAAAATAAAATAGTTAAAGAAGATTCTGAAGTGGTATATGAAAAAATGACATTGATTAATCTACAGTTATGAGTATTGCTGGAATAGGTAGAACACCTACAAGCCAATAATCCTGCTGGGGAAAACCATCAAAGAAATTAAACATTCAATTCAAGATTAAAAATATCAGAAAATTTTTCAAAAATAGCTACGGATAATAGACTGTCATCAAGAGATGAACTTGATAAAGGGTAAGAATGAAAAAGCATATAGAAAGAATAACACAGTCTTATAATAACCTTAACTTTAATAATTCTTAATGGTGAACTGGGGAAAACAAAAGAAAACAACATTTTTTATCTATTTGTGGAAGAATCATGCCTTCAGATTCAAGGGGTATTTAGATCATTCAGGATTAATTCAATACCCTATTTTAACTCCATTCTCCCCAAATCATTAAGGTGAGATTTTCTAGGCAAAAGAGACTTTTGGACTCCAAAGAATGGAAGAATATATTTGTGTCTATTTTTGAAAACCTGAAAAAAACGGAATACAAAAAACTGCTGTAGCATCTTGCATATTGCAACTTAAAAACTTGACCTTGAAGCTACTGCTACATTAATAAAAGCAGATGTTGTGTATGTCTAGGCGCCTAGACTCCAGAATGCAGGAAGTACATTATTCTCCCTAAGTTCTCTCTGAAGCTTTTGGAAACACTTTTGTAACTCCAGCTAGAATCATCAGGCACAGTACCACACAGGAAATAAAAGCACTTCATCTAGATAGTAAGAAACATTAGAGAAAAC